GCCAAGGTGAAGTTGAGTCGTTAAGCATCAGATTGCCTGAGGCTCTGCGGCCTGGGATTCAGACATCCGCCAGTTGAAAACAAATAAGCAAAAGATTCCTTTTAGTGCTTCATTGTTAGAAGTTGGAACCGCATTCCCGCAAGATAAATCGTGATTTGATAGAGCTGAAACGTGGTCCGATTTGAAACCTTGCCGGCCAGCAGCTGTCACGCGAGAGGTAGGTCTACTCTGCGTACTTTAACCTTGCTCCTGCTTCTCGCTTCCAATACGATAACTCTTTTAATCATAGTCTACTGCTTCGAAATTGAGTTGCACAATAGGATAAACTCAAAATTTGTTGCCCTGTTCCTCCGCGCAACTGCCTGTCCGTTGCTTACGCACGTCACGTGGTTTGCAAATATAATTACTATGCCGAGCATGTGTGGGCTGTGCGATAAGCAGTGCTGGTTTGCATTTTGAGCTGTTGAAAGCCACTCAGAAAATATCAACACTATCTTCAGAAACATATGGTACTTGCTTTTTGGTTCTTATTAAGGCTCACAAAGTTTCAAGTTCTCGCATCTGCTACACTGTTATCCCATCTACCTAGGTCCCTAACCACTCGTGTTCATCTGTGTCGCTAAGCACAATTGAAATTGCTCCCATGCTTGTCTAAGACACAAGCTGAAGTGCAATGAAAACTGATCTGAGCTGCTCCTAGCCTGCTGCAGAATGTAGTTTGAGCTGCTCGCAACCTGCTCCAAAACAACTGTTTGAGCTGCTCCCGTGGCTGCTCCCTGAAAGGACATTCTGAAAGATTCTGTTAGAAAGTACTCATACTTTGTAAATGCATTGTATCTATAGTACTTTACTTCAAGTACATTGTATTTATAGTACTTCAAGTACATTGTGTCCAGAGTACTTACTTTCTTCTTGAAGTACATAAGCTATCATTTACTTTGTACTTTACTTTAAGTACTTTTTAGTTGTACTTTACCCAACACTGGCTGAAGCCACACTAGCCTTGATAACGGAGCTCAAAATAGCTGATGCCGAGTATAGACTGGTAGCTTTTTAATTTTACTGTAGTTTTAGAAGATATCCCCTCCTCCCACCCGTCCTGTTCACTTATTTGACACCGTGTCAGGCCTTTCGCTCTGTCCTCGTTGCATGGCTTCAATTCTTTTCTGCAGAGGTAATATCTTTCAAGAGTGAAACATTATGTTGTTTTCCATTCAAAAAGGCAGAGAACGTTTGCATAGATTATGCTGCTCAGTGGGTATTTCTTCTCAGTGTGGGTCAACAAAGACCATGTTTGAAAATGTGAAAGGGTGCAAATGATGCTCGATTAAAGCTTGCCGTCTGACTGGATAGGCTTTGTTACTTACGTGAAGCTTGCTATAGCACTATTTGAAGTTAAGGTTTGTTCCTTTTTTAAATTTTGTTTAAAGAAGGCAGGTAGGTTTCTTGGTTGGTTTCACGAGGGGCAAGGAGAAAAAAGCTTCATGCTTTTTTATCTTTGGTGCACTTGCTGCGGAAACTGATAGCAGGCAGGCTTTTATTGTGGTTGTACAACGTAGGGACCTGCTTTGGAGTCTCTCTTGTTATTAGAGGTGACCGTTCGCCCGCATTTGAAAGGTTTGGGCCACACCTCCTCTGTATGGTGGGTTCGCAAATGTTGCTAAATAACATTCTAAGCATCAGTTTTTTGGAAGTCCATAGTCGTCCCCTTACTCAGCGCCAATAGTGCTGATGTTTGTGCGGCATTGCATGCATGTTTTTGTGAAAAATAATTCCTGTGAACCAACCTTCAAGGTCCTATTTTGTTACGTAAAACATACAACTGCAGCATGGAAGGTTGAAAGGGGACAAATGCACAGACCTCAATTTGTGGGGCAGACTGAATTCTTTTTTTTATAGGTCTCATTTTGCTGTATTATGTAGTCACCTTGGTTGCGAAGCCGTCTTGTCATCCTTTGGGTGCATATTTCCGGCTTTTATAATCGGTCATCCCATGGTTTTCATTAGGAACTACGTTGCATGTCTCATACATTTTGTGTCATGGTAGTGGTCATAGTGGCCTGACAATATTGGAGGAATTTTATTGACCTCACTGGAATGCAGAAAACAACTCGTCTCGTTTTAATCTGGACTGCACAAAATGCTGCAACTATGAACAGGAAGCCTCTCTGGATCCCAGATCCTGCACAAGTATTTGTATACTTAAAGCTCATTCTAAGGAGCTTGGACTTCGAGCTAAGGAGCATAGAGGTCATTTGACGTTTTTCAGATCACTCGCCAAGGATCATAGTGCCTCCGGAACAGAAGCCTCTCGCAATCTGGAAATCTGAGTTCATGGTTTATAGCACTTGTCTACGAAAGCCAGTAGTATTCCTTAGATTCATATTGTCTTTGCCGTTTTCATCCTTCTCTACTTCTAAATAAGCTTTTATATGTCCCTTTCAGCAGGGCAGTTGGGTCTTAGGGAGAGAAGAGGAAATGCTAATGAATGGGAAAAGGCCCAACTCAGTAGACCAACAGAATAAGAAAAGAGCTTGCTTCCCACTTGCATTGAAATTTCCTTAGCTATCTCTCAATGCAAGCTTGTTTCTGCTGCCTCAGTTCCTTTCAGTACAGAAGTCCCTGTCAGATCCTAGCATTGTCAATAACACAAGGCTGCAACTTTTAATGTCACGGCAACAGGAAATGTTAATGTGACAATTATTTTTTTAATTTGGTGATGTTTAATAAAAAGCTGCAAGTATTTCTCCTGGATTGAACATGTTTGCAGGAAGTGGTTGGGGCAGAGTTGTGTGTTGTATCCATACCGTTCAGAGAGAAAGCCTGCACCCGAGAAATCGCCCATCCAGTTTTTCTGGTTAAGTTTCTGTAACATAAAAATTCCGAAACAGCGCCCACCCCCTATTCCCGTCGGATGTCACACGACGACCGACAGGAATCGCATCTACTGCGCAATTTGCTGTACCGGCTGACAAGAGAGTTCATAGCGGGTGCCTGCGTTTCTGTCCCTGATCTGCGTGTGTGATATCGGTTTCTGTGACAGGCAGGTTTGCAGCGGGTTCCAGCGTGTTTGTTGCACCATAAAACTTGGCTCTGCTACGTCCGCGATTTGCAGCATTCATTCCCGTGAGATGCGAGTTCTCAGAGGGTTTTCGCAGGTCCTTCGCACCATGAAACATGAATCTGCTGCATCCGCAACTTGCAGTATCCTTTCCCGTGACACAGGAGTTTGTAGCGAATTCCCGCGGTTTATCGCATTGTGAAACGCGAATTTGCAGTGTCCGCGATCTGCGGTATCAGTTCCCGCATCACGTGATTTGTGGCCGGTGCCAGGGTATTCTTAAATTTTTATAAAGTTTTGCCGTGGCATCCCCAAAGATAGCCTACACCATGTTTTTCAACATTTATTTCTTCATTTTGGGTGGGCATTCTTTCCGAACTGAACTTTACATAATTCCTGTTTTATACCATTTTTCAGCTGTTAGACCGTTAATACCTGAATTTTTGGGCATGACACTGGGAGTGATTGGCTGAACAGAACAGAGCAATTGAGGCACAATGTATATATCTACAAATCTTGTTTTGAGTGTTGTATGGGTATTCTTCGGCTTTATCATCAACATTTGGTACAGCTGGCTCCCTTGCTTATGGAGTGGAGCTTCTTTGTGCGATGGGTTGAGATACAGCCTTTCTTTTAGAGAACTAATTAACACGTTATCTTCACTTTCCTGTGGCACGTAATGTGAGCACTGTAGATTGATTTGTTTGTGACCTTGTAATTAGAGTCTGGAAATGTCACCAAGGGAGTAAGTGTTGAAAATGCCACCTAGGGAGTAAGTGTAGGCAAAGGTTCAGTGTCCCGTTTCCTTACTCTCTTGTTCTTTGTTTTTATTAATTCAGCATCGCATAAAACATTTAGACGTGGCACTGTCCCCTTTTTTTGTCATCAGTCGTGGCAGACTGGAGCGACGTAATTAGTTACTGCCCAACATATGCAATCTGTTTGGTGATAGCATTTGACATATAGTATTTATTTAATAGTTTTGTACGGAGTTGATATAAGCACGACAAATGAGCTCCAGGTTTGTTCGCTTGTACGACAGAGTAGATGTGAAGGGACGGGGTCACCAGAGTCTGGTTTGCTGCGTGCACCTTGTTACATATTAAGCGGACTATATACGGTGGGCAAAGTAACTAAACAACATTCATTTACACTTCACCCGCGATGGCGACCTTCGCGAGTGAAATCTGTTCAGCTTTTGACTGAGAGCGCGTGACTGTGCTCGAAAAGGAACAAGACCAGAGAAAGAAGTCTCGGCGACGTGAAAAGCAAGCAAGAAAGAAGATCAAGGACTGACAATGATGTTGAACGGTCGGAACAATAGACGGAACGGAACAGTCGGAACGCCAGAGTGACAGCAAACGGAATGCCAGCTGAACGCCAGACAGTGAACGGAACGAACGGAACGCCAGCTGAACGTTGGACAGTAAACAGAATGAGCTGAACGCCAACGGAAGGCAAGCAGTCGGATGGAACAGGACGGATTGAATGATAACGAACGCCATGAACTGACTGAGAATCTTTAACTGTAAATATTTATATGTTTATTTTATCAGTGTAAATACAGTTTTGTTTTCTGTTAAAGTTATCAGCCGGTATTATAACGACGACACCCCACTCACTCTGAATCAGAAACACGCCTATTGCCACCACGTGAGACCAAAAGCGTCGTCGTGGTTGCCTTTCTACAATCGTCTAAACACACTTCGGCGCCTTAAAAATATTATTTTCATCGACGGAAACAAAAGTAACATCAGACTGCCAGCGCGGCCACGGCGCGGCAAATTCTTGTTGCAACGTCACGTAGGGGGGGCGCCACCGAAACATCTCGTCACCCATTGTTCACAGCTTGCCAAAACATTCTTCCTTTATCGTTAACATTCTGTATTGTTGTAGTGGAGAGCATCTCTTGATTTGGCCATTCCTATTGGGCTTGCAGCTGCGTCGGGCCCGTACCCCGTCCAGCTCTCTGTGGCGGAGGACCGGACGGACAACAGCAGCGATACGGGTGTGTCGTCCATGGGCTCGGAACGCGTGCCTTCCATCTCAGAGGATCATGTAAGGGCTCCCTTTGTACGCTCATGTGCTGGACACTGCAGTGGGGATTTTCACATGTACTGCGCGCATATCTTTTGGACGGTGCGTCTGGAGGAAACAGTGCAGGAGTTATGGAAAGCTCAGAAAAATATACCAAAAAGATCTTGTCCTCGAAGGTGGACATTACACTGTCGGAAGTGATTTGCTGCTCCTCTGAGTGCCTTTGTCCTTGCGAGTAAGTGGGGCCACCAATCTCTACGGCTATATCGCGCAAGTCCCACAAGTTCCTATCTGCCTGCGTATTAAATATGATATTCCCGTCTATGCTGCACCTTCATTTTTTTTTACATCTAAAAGTTTGTTTGGCTTTGCCAAAACCAAGCACCCTGTACTTAGCTTGCTAACCTCACTTGCACACTGTGTCCCGCTTTGCCTGGCATAGTCTTGAACATTATAGTATTACAACAGTCCAGAGAGAGAACTTTCACAAATTACTATAAAGCGTTGCAACAGACAGGGCTATGAAGCAGGCATCTGCAAAATATGAAATAAAAGAAATGACGCATCTACAGTGGGGCTCTTTTTTGCGTGCGAAGCTCACTCTATATTCAAAAATTGCACCGGCGAAGTATCGGCTACTACTGTCACATTGCCCAGGTGAACAATGTGACATCTTTTGCTTACACGATGTGACTACCGTAAAACACCGGGCAAGTGCCCACTCAAAATTAAGAAATAATCACGAGAGAATGGGGATGGGCGCTTGTTCGCATCAATTTTACATATAAACGTACTGCGCGCATTTCCTCAGATCTTTCAAATTTGGGAATGGGCGCCTAATGTGGACTGGGTTGATGCGCGGTATTCTATGGTATACTGCTCTAAGGCGCTTGGACAGCAGAGCTGAATTGCACTGGGTCAAGTAAAATAGGGGCTTTAGTCTGCTATTGCAGAATATTTTCTCACATTTATGGAAATTTTCTGTCCCCTATATTACTGCTTCATAGTCCCTAAATCGAGTCTTTTCCTGTTGCATATTAAATGCGTAGCATTTGTAGGGCCAGCTCTTAGCAATTTTGTGCCCACATCTAAGATGTAACCTCAGTGACGCCATGGTGTCACATGACAGTCATCAGCATGGCGTCATGCGACACTGTCACAGAGGAGCTATAAGTTCTATGCGTATAAAACACCTTTTAGATTTTCAAAATTCTTTTTATTATATTGCAAGTATCAAGCACTGTCATCACACCTTTTTTTTTTTTTTTTGGTACTTCAATGCGATTACTGTTTGATTCACCTTATTAAAGCCCACTTTTGGTACTGATATATTAATGTTCTGTCGTGGGGGGCACAGTCCTGAAACTCGTGCACGGCATAGTGTAATGCCTGCGATTGAAGGAAAGGAAAAGAGACGAAGGCTGCTTGAAACCCATCCTTTGCTTGCCGTTGCTTTCGAAGGGTTGCTTTCTGTGCCATCCTGCAAAGCGTCGAGGCGTCCTCACATTTCTCCCCGATTACCCCTGCGACAGGAGTGGCTGGACTCGTGCTCCGAGTCGTCGTCCCACGCAGACGGGGAAGGGGGGGACCTGCCCCGGTTTTTGGGGTCTGCCCAGAAGAAATACAAGTTGTTTGGACGCAAGCCGCCCGGCCCCGTAAGTAACCCTGCCCTTTCCTTTCTTTATTTTATATTTTATCTTTTGTGTTTTCTTTTAGCTACCTCGCTGTCTCTGAGGCAAAACACTAGCCTATCGAAGGGTGCTACAACACTGATTTTAGCTGCACGTTGAAAGATAAAACCCAGATGCTGTCGCATAAACCCCTAAAAATTTAATGTGACTTCTTTGTTTTATTTGCTGGCCAGCTTAATTTGACAGGGTACACAAACAATTGTTGGAGAATTGTAAGCAGTGAGAGAGTGCAGGCGAGCTGGTAATCAATCGACATCTTGTAAACCCTGAGATGGGGAACGATAAAAAAACGTTTTTTTATCGTTCCCCATCTCGGGGTTTACAAGATGTTGGAGAATGTGTTTGCAAAAGCAAAATTGCTGTGCCTGTTTGTTTTTTTTTAACATTGAACATTTGTAGGCTAGGTTTTTAGGTAAACTGGAGCCTCGAAAAAAGTAACCGCGCATTTCCCCACCAATTTTAACAGGGAAAAGGACATTGCATGTCTTCCTGTTACGTGACCTTTACAGATATTCAGTTTCCCCGCTAGATTTAGCGGGAAAAGTGACGTCACGTGACCTACGCATAAATTCAGTTTGACCGCTACCCGTCACCCCCCATACTCTGGGCACAGGCCGACCCAACGGGGAAGGTCAATGGGTCAGTGACTCAACGAGTCAATGGGTGGACTTAAGGAAGGTCAGTGGGTCAACAAGTCAGTGAGGTGGAGAGGAGTGGAGAGATTCGGAGGCACAGCTCGAGAAGAAATGCCTGGAGGTTACTAGCGCTAAACCAAGAACGTTTCACGTAGCAACGCATTTGCGGGGTAATTGTGTTTCATAATGATTACCCTCGTTTTTCTTTTTTTTTTTTTCTTTTTTTTTTCATTGGCTTTTGAGTGATGCGCATGTACCGTAAAAGTAAAATGGAGAGGCGAATTGTTCTTGAGTGCCGGAATCCTTACCGTGTATCTATCGATAAAGTTGGACTGTTGTTGCCGACATTTGTTTGCATTTCTCCTCGTGCTTGTTGGTGCCGAGGGTAGCTTGAACAGAAAAGAAACATGTATAGCAGGAATGCTTCTCCACTTCTGCAAAGGTTTTGTCCCGTGGAGTTGCAATATGTTCATTTTAGAATGCGCAGACATGTATCAAAGCTCGGAGGCTTCCCACAGCCTGCTTCCAAAATGCTCTAACACTCGATATTTCCCAATACCGACCCGCTTCAAACACTTATTTTCTGCTCCCGAAATTGGAGGAAAAACTGTTGCGCAATTCTATTCTCGATACCAATGTCTTGCCCTAGGTGTCCAGTCTTATGAACACGTATCACTTCCGGTTAAGCACCCTAGCAAGCTGCGTTCAAGAGGGTCAAATTTACCGAAGATTTCTTAGAATAGCACTTTTTGAAGATCTTTCGCTGAAATTTTGCTCTACGGTTAGGTTCCAGTACAGGAAAGACTTAGTGCACAACCGTAGTTGGTTTGTGCAACATTTTACTGCGTTACATTGCCCCAAAAGTGGGCTTCAAATGTTATCGGTACAGTAGCATTTCGCCAGATGCGAACCTACCATGCTCTTTGCCGGTGCAGCTCGACGCGGGACAAAAGCCGCGGCTAAGCCAATGAGGCAATTGCAGCGTCGGAGGAGCACACGTGGCGACGTGCTGTCGGTGTGTACGCTCTGTTTGGGAAGGGCCGTCGCCCACGTTTACTCACGTTGGCGGCAGCTTTTTGGCGTTTACCACGTTATTCCGAAACCGAGCGCAGTGCCTAGTCTCCGACAGCTCGAGAAATGCGGGGCATTGTGAATCCTGAGCACCGTCTTGTTGCTCTGCGGCCAAAGAGACGGCAGCATTGGCTGACGAGGATGCCAAAGAATGAATCTTTAAACGAGAAGAGCGAACGCAGTAAGCCACGCCCTCCGTTTCTTAAAGGGGCACTCGAGCGCCTTTCGTAGAAGCTGGTGTTTTTGATAGCATATTGTTTGTCGGACTTTAGTCAATAAAAATGACCAGTTCTAGATGGCAAGACGTCCCGGTAGGCTCGCAGCAATAGAAATATGCGGGCACTACCTTCTTTCGGGCGGGCCGTACCTCGGGTCCCCGCCACCCCTGTAAAATTTGACGGATGGAAATGGTTAACTGTGCTGAGATTCTGAAGGTTACTGTTGCTCTTTCTAGCTGCGTCGTGCGTTACGTTTTGACTAAAGCGTCAAATGTTTGGGTGTAGGAGACGTAATATGATTATTTCAAGAAAACGCCGTTTCACGGTGACCCCTAGTGTCTGCTCCGAGGCGCAGAAAGAGGGGCAGAGGGGCGAGTCGCGACATTTGAGCGTAAATTCTATTTTTTTTACGGCAAGCCCGTAGATAGTTATTGGCATAAATAGATGATCTTGGAATTCGCTCATCGGCCCCTCTAAGCCGCCCGCGGGTATACCGTAAAATACCATGCATCCGCCCATTTTGCACCAAGTGCCCACCCCCAAAATTTGAAACATCTGAAGAAATATGTGCTGTACATATATACTGTGAACAACTTAATTTCGCGATAACCTAAATTTCGCAAATCGCCCACAATTTGCAAAAAAAGAGGTCCCGCAAACAAAACCGGAAAAATGTAAACACATTGGAATCTGTATTGAGATCCCACCGCGTCGCGGACATTAGAACCCACGAATTATTCCAAAACTTCAGCTTTGACCTCAATCGCAAAATATTGAGCCTGCAAAAAATAAGTCGTTTACAGTAGGTATGTAAAATTGATGACCTCGGATGCACCCGTCCCCTATTTTTTTGCGATTGTATTAAAATTTTGAGTGGGCGCTTGCTCAGTATTTTACGGTAGTCAGAGGAGGATCACTGTATCTCGATTTCGCGACTCGCCCACTGCGCCGAAAATTGTAAGAAGTGCTTGGTGTCGTCGAGGGCCGGCAAATGAAGCTTGCTGTTGTCTGGTGCAGGGCGAGAACGACACGGTGGTTCTCGGGGTCGGGGGAGGCTACCCGTGCCCAGCTCCCCCCCACCACTACCCGGTGCCCGTGCACCGGCTCCCGGGGGGTGCCACGGTGGCCCTGGTGCCCAAGCCGGCCTCCGCACCAAACTTCCCTTCCCCCCACATCCCGCGCCTGGCTCCGCCCGTGGGGGCCCTAGTGCAGCACAACCACTCCTACTCGGCCGCCGAAGCCGCCTCGTCCACAGCCGAGGAGGGCAACACATCGGACGAAGACGAGGTGAGCGGGGTTTCCAGGCGCCGCCTGGGATGCATCTCGGACCGATGCGTTTGGCGTCCCATTCCACCTGTGTGTCGAAAGCGGTTCCAAAGCGGCAACGAACGATGTCGCAAATGCGGTAGCGTCGCGCCGTCGGATGTCGCAAACCCGGCAGGGGGGGTGTAAAGGTTGCAAAAAGGAGCATCGGAGTATGCGAGTGTCGCCGTTGTCGTGGCGTCCCAACTCCTCGCCGCTGAAGCTTCTGCGGACCGTCGAGGCAGGAGAGCAACTCGCGGTGGACCGGTTGTCCGCTGCATCCACCGACGCTGCCGGAATCGTGGCCGGCGATGGTGCGACACTTTTACGCCGTTGTCAGACAAAAATCGAGGTACCGCTTTTTTTTTTTTTTTTTTGATGCGGGAAACTTATTGGTCGGAGACGCGTTCTAGAGACCTCAATTTCGGTGACTTGGGCCAGAGCGATACCGCCGATGGTCGGCGACAGGTTGAAAATGCGGTAGAAGCAGCGTATTCCGCCTGTGGCACGGGACCTTCGGTGACGCTTGGGTGCACGTGCAGCCGAAGCGAGATGGAAGGCAACGAGCACGTGTCGGAGTTGTAACTTCTGCCACATTATTAACCCGTTGCCGACTGTGGAAGACAAGGCCAGCGTTTTTGCTCCTCTGACGTCGTGACCAGTGGAGCCACGCAGTGCTGCCTAGCTCAGTCTGCGTCGCCGCGAGCGCGTCTTGCAACATCTCTCAACGTGCACGATGCTAGCAGGCGGCGACGGCAAAACGTGCGTCTGCCACTTTGCCGTTTATTCTCGTCGAGCTTGAGCGTGTTTGCCGTAGGAGGCTTGTTAAGGACTTGCCGGCAGCGACCTGGAGAGTGGGCCCGGTTTTGTAGTGGTATTGACTGGAGCCACCGTACGTAACGGCTTTAGTTGCCGGAGTGGCGATGCTGTGGCCGCCTCGGTAGCTCCGAAGGAGAGCACCGGCCTACGGATCCTCGGGTGTGGGGTTAGAATCCTACGGTGCCCGCGATTTCGACGGGAACTTGTTGCGGTGAAGGTGTTGTGTGGTCGAAATTTTGGTTTCGCATAGAAAGTTTGCGAGACGGTCCAGAAATTATCGTCGGTCCTCTGCCAGGGCGTGCAAAATGCTCTTCGTTAGTTTTGCGCGGAAAAAATTGCAATATTTTGGGGTGGCGATGCTAGCTGCAATGCCAGGAGCAGTAATGATGAACTTCGAGTTTGCGTTAGGAGTTGCCGGGGCAATGGCTGATGGCTGGTTTTTTAGTTTGACTCGTCCGTGTGTAGCTACGGATTATATCAAACTTTGACGAGGCAGTACTTGGAGGATAGAAGCCCACTGCTGTCTTCGTGCATCCGAAGGGACTCCCGTAAGGGTAGCGTTGGGAGGAAGGAGGAGCAGAGGACAACCTAATTTCGTTTAACAGTGTTCGGTAATCTTTGGTCTTGCACTTTAGTCGTCAACACCAAATCGGCTGAAACCATATTTGTTGTGATCCACGCAGTGCTCACTGGCCGATTGTGGCGAGGCAGCACAGTGAATAGTGGTGCGCTAGTATTGCAGCTAAGGCTGCCATATACAATGGCTCTGGCTATGATACCTTTGAGCCATAATTGTGTCGCGTGCATGTTTAGACAGCAGCGAGGAAGTTTTCCGGCCCAAATGGGCGACCTATGTGTCCGCTAGTGCCGCGCAACCGCTATATTCACTGACAGCCGATAGGCTGGGCGTCTTTCGGACGCCCGGCCTTCGGCACGACCCCGTGCCTTTTGCCATGCTTTGGCTATGCGCACGCACTCAAACTGCAAGAGACGCTGATGCGCTGTCGAAGGTAGGAAGCTCACGCCGACAACTGAAGCTCCTTTCTGCCGTTCTCGCCTACCTTGTTGCTGGGCTCCGTAGCACGAGCTTTTGTACCACGGGGTCGGAGCTGCGACGCGTTGGCACGCCCGGTCGCCGATCCCTCTGCCTCTAAGCGTTCTTTTGGCACGTGTGGGGGACGGCCCTGGAATTTCGTGGGACATGCGGGCTTTTTGGATGGCTTTTTGGTGTCGGTGGCCGGGGCCTGACGGGCAGTGCTTGCCACCAGGAGGACGGCGGCTGCGAGCTGGGGGAGGCGGAGCGGCTGCGCCAGGACCAGCTGCGTGCGTCGCGGGACGAGAAGCGAGCCCGTGCCCTCAACCTGCCCCTGACCAACGTCGAGATTGTGGAGCTGCCCATCGAAGAGTTCAACGAGCGCCTGGCCAAGTTTGAGCTGACAGAGGCACAACTGGCGCTGATCAGGGACATTCGGAGGCGCGGCAAGAACAAGGTGGGTCGTCCCCCTCCACCCTTTGGTCATGTCGTGGATGAGCCGTGCTCTTACGCTTCCCCCTTTCCTAAATCAAAGGACCCTCCGTCGAGTCCTTCGAAGCTTACTTCCGTGCCAGTTGCATGTTGCTGATTGATTGGTTAAGTTTGTCCTTAATAAGCTTTATCGTAAGGCCTCATGTATGAGAGAGGGAAGGAAAAAGTAGTTGCAGAGTGAATTGTGGGATGGTTGTATCTTAAAATATCCTGTTTGTAAAGATGCTGAACCAGACTCCCTTTCCGACTTCAGGATGCAAAGCAGATAGAAGTCAAATTGGATTGACCTGGGCTGTGGAGTCCTTTCCCACTTTGCTTTTGCTCACGATTTTCTGAAGTGAAAGAGGGTGGTCAGTCAGTCTGCATTCTTTTTAGCTGTTTAGAATACAGTTAAACCTCGATGTAACGAAGTCGGTAAAATTCGCAATTTACTTCGTTACATTGAAATTTCTCTAAATCAAAAATTGGCTTTAGCATGGGGAAAAAAAAAAAAAAAATTCCGAAACATTTTACGGGTATGAAAACTCTCCGAAAATGACATATTTATTTAGAGGCAAAGTAGTCCGCGAGTTTTGCTTGCGCCTTGTTCGACAGTAGCAGCGGCGTCATACCAGGTCATACGGCGTTCGAGCGCCCAGAGCGCTTGCACGGCATCTTGCTGCCCATGCAACGCCGTGTACTTCCTCAGTACGTCCGTTGTGTCGAGCACTTCCCGAGTGTTCGTGATCTCGGCAGTTTCTTCAGGATGGCGTCCAAAACGTTTGCATTCTCATCCAAAGAAAGAACTTTACGTTTCCCTATGGCTGCAAGCACGTGAGTGTACCGCCCAGTTGAAAAATAAAGCTGTTTAGGTGGTGCCAATGTTTCCAACCTTCACAGCACTCTTGCCCGCACAGTTTACTTGCCCCCTTGCGCCCACAGTGTGCTTGCGCCTTTGCTTTATATCACGACAGTGTGCTTGCGCCTTTGCTTTACATCACGCTCGCAAGACGATAGTCGGTCCTCCTAGATGGCATTGCCCGTGCGGTCGGGCTAGAGTTCCTGTAGGGAGCCTATACAGGAACTCTAGGTCGCGCCATCACGTCGCTCCCCCGCTGAAGTTGGCTCCCGCGCTACCCGCAGTACAGTGGACTATGATGATCAGTGAGTGTCAGTGGTGATGCTGTTATGCCGTGTTAACTTTTTGCTCGGCATTTTCTGGCCAGCCCAGCGGAATGCGCTTTGCCGCATGCCTCGCCGGCGCTACCGGCGCCGCATCCTCGGGCAGCCTAGGAACGTTGGAAGGCCTGTCCCCGTGAAATAACCTATCAAGCGCTCGCGTTTGCGCATAATTTTTATTTTTTAACCACAATTTTTTCGCGAAGTTGTTTTTTAGTCTATTTATTTATTGCCTTCTATGGCAATGGCGCTTCGTTATATTGAAATAGCAGCAAAATAGACTTTGTTATATAGACTAAAAATACATGGGGTCTATGGGCAAGAAATTATGAAAAATAAAATACTTCATTAAATCGAGGATTTCGTTATATTGAAGTTTGTTATATCGAGGTTCGACTGTATTGGGAAAGCCTCAGATACCTGCAATAAAGTGTAACCAGAAAAACTCGCGAGCATTTAAAGGGGTACTCCACCGATTTTTTGAGCTACCTCAACTAACTATATTTTCTGACTCCCCGGCCTTTACTCTCTCCGGTATGCTATTTAGAATCGCGAAATTCATAATAGTTATTGCGAAATCGGCAAATGAAAATGATGCAAAAACCAACATTCAAATTTACGCGCGCTTTTCAGGGCCGTGACGTCAGTGGCAGGCAGGCTTGCCAGTCGAGCAAGCAGCCAAAAAATAGAATATGCCAATCATTTGTTCCGTGCTGGAGCGCGGGTACTGCAGCGAGCTTCCCAAGCATTCATTTGACACCATGAAACTGCTTCGAATCAGTTTAAAACAAAATCTACAGCCCAAAGAGTGAACCCCTGCCTTCCACTGACGTCACTTTTTCATTGTTGCCAGTAGAGACTTCGAGCTTGAAAAACACGGTGAGGACCAAAACTGTAAATTCAATAACTTCGCGAAAAAACAATATTTGGACCTAATATTTGGGATACTATTTTCGCTATGTTTGTTGGTTACTTTAGCAAAATTTCAAGCAAATCGGAGACAATGAAAAAATCGGTGGAGTAGCCCTTTAAGGCTGGTTCAGACATTTGCGTTTCAGCGGACTCGGGGGCGCCATTTTCCTCGCGACCACTTACAATGAGAGAGCCCGCTGGTGCCAGCTATCGGGTAGCCCCAGATTTGCGTATAACCCGATTGATGGTCTCGTGGTATTTGCGAGAGCAAATCTGCGCACTATAAGAAATTGTCGCTTACCGTTGCGAGAATTATTTCGAACATGCAATAAAAGAATGACAGGTAGAACACCCAGATGGACCTTGCATCTAAGCTTCCCCTCGGGTGTTGCAGGTGGCGGCGCAGAACTGCCGCAAGCGCAAGCTGGACCAGATAATGTCGCTGCAGCAGGACGTGGAAGCCCTGCACCTGCAGCGGCAGGAGCTGGAGAGGCGCCACGAGGAGCTGCTGGCCCAGCGCCTGCTAGGGCGCGACAAGTACAGCCGGCTCTGCCAGCTACTGGCCACCCACGCCACCCGGCCCCTGAGCCCCGGTTCGGAGCAGGTGGCCGCCCTGGGCACCCCGCTGCTCGATGCGGCCACACTGGCGAACGGGGCGTCGGACGACGCGCAGGCGCTCCGCGGCGCCAGGCTGAAGAAGAAGGCGGCCGTCGACATCAAGTGGGAGGAGGACGAGTGATTGTGAAACGACTCGGTGAAATCGTACGCTTGTGGTGGTGCCGACTCCGACGGACGCATTTGGAAGGGTCGACTCGAGCAGAGAGGTGCTCCGGTACCGTAATCGTCCGCGCTTGTTTTTGCCCGAGCGCCGGAAAGGATCGACGGAGCCGCGGCCGTCCTCGTTTTGTTTCGCCGTTGAAGAGACTGTTGGGAACTGTGTTGGGAACCATGTTGGTCACCGTGTTGGTCGGTAGGGGTCTGCAACTAAGTTCCTCAAAGGGGGTTTTTTCTTGTTCCCTGCGGGCTCGATCGTTGTGCTTTGGGTCGAGGCAGTTCGAGGCTTCCTGTCGACGAGAGCCTCTCCGCGGCTCTGAGCGTGCGGCAAAAAGAGGGAGAATGAAGCTGCTTCTCTTTTAGGTTTCTCTGGCAATTTATTATTGTAAATAAGTAAGATTCTTTCGACTGGGAGACGAAAGTGTGCGGCTGTGATGTGTGATTGTAGCGATTGCTAAGTCATTGTGGTTTGGGACATTGAACCATTGTGTATACTTTAATTTCTCTGGCAGCCGGTCAGCTGAATGTGGTGATGTGTAAGAGCGGCACATTTGGGCTTGTTGATTTGACCAGCGAGTTTTTGTGCAATAAAAGTGTTTGCACTGAATACATGACGAGGTCGATGATCTTGTGTTTGGCAAGAAGGTTCTTTCGTAAAGAGATTGGATTTTCACATTATTTATTCGGGGCAGAACGTCGTTTTGCCTATATTTTGTTGCGTTCTAATACACGTCAATGTATTTGGATGCGGATGCCCCGATAATAAACTGTTTTGTTGTTATGCAAGGCCCGTGGTGTCTTCCTGCATTGTGTTTTGCTTGGACGAGGTCAGAAGTATTGCTTTGCCGGCAGAACGCCCATGGTAAGAATGCCCAGGTGTAGGCATTATACGGTATTTCAGAAGTGATGTGGTGTGTGCATAGCCTTGACCATGCTCAAAGTGCTTGAGTGCCCGTGCGCCCATAGCTTTGACTGCATAGCCACAGAAAGCTGTCCCCGAGTATAGAAAGCAGTCGTCAGCTGTTGGATGTGGCCAAAGGGACTTGTCGTCTGCCATGAACAAGTCTTGACGGAGCAAAAGGAATTTAGAGAACGCTTGCTGCCAGTACGCGCTTGACCATGAGTAGGCAGGTATGGCAGTCTGTGAATATTTTTGACAATTCAGATATTACCCCACTACTCGGGTATATCTGTGCTTCCTCCACAGTGTACCCAGCAGATCTGCATTGATCAGGTAAGTTTTCTGGACTGGATGGTGTTTATGCTTCTGCCATATTTTAGAGTGAGGCTTGCAGTTTGGTGGCAGTACGCTGTGGTTGTTGACCTTTGGGAATTGTATCGCATTTGTACAGGGAGTCTCAAATAGTAGTCAGGCTCTTCAAATCGACCGCAAAAAAATCTGTTTCTTAAAGGAGCGATGCAACAATTTTTGTACTTTGCACAATTACCGCTTAGAACGGATCCCTGACGTTAATGACCTATGAAACACTCATTCGTTTTTCACCCCATGCAATAGAAGTCCCAGTCAAAAATTAAAAACTAGCACCGTTCACCCCATCAACTCGCAGCCAGAACAAGCGGCAACGTGATCTGGAGCCGATTATATGCCGCCAATGTTGATCGTAGCCCTGCGCTGGGGTTGGCAAAGCACAGGAAATGCGCCGAGTACCAGACATTGTTATGGCTCCGCTATTGTCGTCGTCGCAGCGATTGGACACTGGCCACTACCCGAATGCTTCTCGAGGTAGAAATTATCGCGAGCTCAAATCGAGTGCCCACGCAATGCTTGGATCCAATCTATGAACCGCATTCAAATATTGTCATTGGGATCCCCACGTTACGCATTAAATTTTGCAAAGGTCACTTTTGTCCTTGAAATTGAACCTCAACAAAGGAGTTTCTTGGCCAGTAGCGTTGCGTGCGAGTAACCTTGAGTCCCACTAGTAGTGAAAAACATTTGAATTGAATATTGTTGCACCGCCCCTTTAACCTATCGCTCTAGGATTTTGTGCATCGTCCACAGGTGGTGCATTTTTCCTATAAAATTTGCTGAGAACAAACTTGCCCATGGACAAAGTAAAAAAGAAAGAAAGGCTTAACTCCTAAGAAAATGCAGCGAGGCCACAAGTCTTCAAACAATAGGGTGACGTTTGGCACGGGAGACGAGATTGTGCAAGCAGTCTCGACTAGGGGTGTCGCGAACTTTTGTCGAACCAGATTTTTTGGTCGAACTTTCGTGGTTCGACTGGGTTGAACCGGTTCGACGAACCTTCGAACTTTTCACCAGATTCGACTGGTTCGACTTTTGTGGACAGTGTGGCCAGACCTTGATACGAGCATGTCCAGGTTTGGAAAAAAAAATTTTATGCAAAGGGTTACTTTATATCGTGAACAGCTGCAATTAAAAGAAACTACTTCTAATCAATGAAGAAGTTAATAACTTAATTTTTAGTAATGTATTAACTGAAATAGCCAATCAGCGCTGCACTTAATTCATCTTTTAGCCATGATCATCCAATCCGACGCCTGCCTGCCGCGCATGCGCACATGAGTCGAACCTCAATAGAAGGTTCGTCGAACTTTCCTCTAAAAGGTCGAAAAAGTCGAACCTGGTCGAACTCGAACCGCGGCCGGTTCGCGACACCCCTAGTCTCGACTCTCGACGCAGTGCCACCAACGAACGAGCATATGGCGCCAAGAGCCTGCGTCATTAGCAGACAATTTTTTTACTCGAAAGCGGCGCGAGTTCCGCAGGCGGCGATGGTCACTGAACCAGAGGAGTGCAACTTCCTATACCGCCCATGGAACGCAAATTGGGAAACCCTGGGAGGCCGCAGCGCCATTTGAATCCCCTGGTATCTGGTGGCTGTACTAAAATCAACATGGCGGCACAGCGAAACCAAAACCGAAACTGCACGGCAGCGCCATTGTGTTTGGATGGATGCGCGGTAGCTTGCGCCACCTAGTGTTAAAAATATATATATTGTAGCTTTTTTTTTTTTTTTTTTTTTTGCCCCGTTTGCGCGTTGCTTTGCTAGGCTTCTGCTGCTTTGCGGCTGGTTTTCGCATTTCAATGCTGGTTAATGTGCGTTGAAACGCACACAAGCCAGCACTGAAAAGCGAGACCAGCAGCAAAGCTGCAGAAACCTAGCAAAGCAACGAAAGTGACACATACACAAAAAATATGCAATGCTTGTCCTTTTGCGTTCATTTTTATTCAACAGACAGTAGAAAATACAGACGAAATTTCTCACTGTTTTGCACACGAGAAACAAAGAAATGAACAACGAAACAGGATAAAACGTTAAGGTTACGTGCGACGAAGGTGATGATATGCGTCCTTGCAAATTTGATTATATAAGTAAGCATATAAGTAAAGACCGACGACGGTGTCTTAATTGCAATTAAAGGAAACTAAGCAATGAGTACCAAGAAAAACAGCTCAGCTCTTTGGTATTGAGTCTTCATCGAGAACCTGCCCATTCGTTTTTAATATTATCACTTAAATTTAGGAGTGAGTCACTGCTAAACGAAACGGGAAACCAGAGCGGATCGCTCTATCGCTCATCCTCAGTTAATCGAAAAATATTTAGGCTCATATTTTAACTCCTCGCGAACAGACGCGTGAATCGCTGACAACAGTGCCAAATAAACAGCTCACAGCAAAAAGTTTGCCATCTTTTAAAGCGAGCATATGTGCTCGATCTTGATATGAAAACGTCTACACAGAAGTCTCCAGTAATTTGACAATGACATATTTCTCGCGGCGAGTGAAGAGCAATCCTGAACAATAATAGGATTTGGTTTTGTGATTGGAAACCATTGTAGCTATTGCCAAAATCAAACAATTAATACTCACTACCACTGCGACAGTTAGGTTTTGTTGCAAACATCCAATCAGAAACTTAAGCAAGAGAAGACCAAAAGAGCGTACCGCACGTCCATTCGAACTCGAAACCATTGATATCCCGGCTTTCGGCAGTCATTGTTTCCCCACTTGGCACATCAGGTGGTGTGTTGATGACGAAAATCCATGCTTGACCACATTACACCAACAACAAGTTCCCACGAAAAAGAAAAGATAGCCGCGCGCGCACGAACGCGGGACGAATCTCGCGCCGCGACGCACTCCCAGAAGCGAAACAACTCGCCGGCTCGCGTCCCTCGCGCGTTCTAACGGTCCACCGACTTCCCGGCGCCAGCGGCCAGCGCATCTCGAGGCGAGAAGCGCGGGTTCAGAGAGAGAGAAAGCGCGCCCAGACACGTTGAAAGAGTGAAAGAGAAAGTTACAATAACAAGCTTCAAAGCCATTCACACCTTCAAAACAACTTCACCTTTATTTCGTATCATTAAATATATGAATCAATTTTATTTAAAATGAAATAACAAGTGCCAACAGCCGCTGGGAGCGCGGCAATCGGAAGCAGTTCGCCGGACCGGACAAACGTCATAAGTATACGCGGCGGGACGGAAGTAGCCGAGAGCTTCACCCCACTGACTGAACCAAAAAAAATGCGCAGCAAGGAACTGCAAAGCAGACAAAATAAAAACTCCGGGAAAAAAAAAAAATTTGACAAACCATTTTTTTAATTGATTATCTGTCCAGTCAATGTGCTTTATAAGTAAGGATGATAAAATCGTGCATTGGCAAGTGAGATCGATAAAGCACGTGCCGCTTTTGGGTAGAAAACAACGTCTGCTACTACCTCGTTGGTCTGCTATTTGATGCCAGCTCTCAGCGCCGTATGCTCGTCCGTTGGCAGCAGTTGGCGTGGCGACCGCTTGCACCATTTCTTGCCTCCCGAGTCCCGTGCCAAACGGCGCCATATTGTTTACAGACCGGTGACTTCGCTGCGTCTCCATAGGAGTTAAGCCTTTGGTGATTGGTCCTTGGGCCACTGGGCCTCAATGTACCGTGTCTCGATGAGCTAAACAATTTTTAATGTGAAAGCATTAACTGTCCCATGGAGTAAAGCCTGCAGTGTCTGTAGCCGCAAAAAACGGCACCAAACTTCCCATTGGCTGAGCTAAACGGCCCCTAATGTCCCATTGGATGTGACACGTCCTATCGGATGCTTCGTCACAGATACCGACGAGGCCGCTTGAGGTCAAAGGGGACGCGCCTCGGAAATAAAAAACAGAAAAGTACAGCAACACAGATGCATCGTCACGAAGACGATGGGGCCTCTCAAGGTGAAAGCAGATGCGCCTCAGAAATAAAACAAAGAAAAGCACAGCAACGCAGATGCACCGTCATGGAAGCTGTGGAGCCGACGGGGTTCGCCGCGCTTGCGCAGTGGGGTGCGTGATGTGTAGGAATGCACTGCTTTCGCACTCCTACGCGTAAGCAATCTTAAAGGCCGACGACCAGACACGAGATTCTGCAAGGCAGAATCTTCTCCTCACCCTGGGGCAGAAGGAAACAGGCAAAGGTGGACAGGGTAAAAAGGGGGAGAGGGGGAAAAATGGAAAGCGCGAACTGGTCGTCGGTCTTGAAATGTCCTCCTGTAATTCTTTTTTTTTTTTTTTTTTCTGATGTATTGCTTATTTGGAGAGCTAGTCGCAAGATAGTTTAGCCTTTTACTTCGTTTACTCCAGCAGTTTCAGCGCGCGCAGGGGGCACCACCTAACTTCCTGTTTACCTTCCGCTAGCAGATGATATCCGACTGCGAAGCGCAGTAGCATGTTGCGTTTGTTTATTTCGAGGCTGGGGTATTCCCTACGGATGCCAAGATTAATTTAGCTGCCGTTCGTTCGTGTCGACATCTTCATTAGTTGCAGTCATGTCTATGAGCTTCACCGGAATGGCAGGCTCCCTGCGAGCGATGCTGCCTCGCTCTGCAACGGCGACGGCAGTGTTGTTCGGCGAGCGTGCAGCCCTGCCATCCAAACGCCTCTTCTTTTCGGGACGGTGCAGCATACGGCGTTCTATCACGAACCTGACGTTCAGCGACCACTTTAAGCGCCCCAACAGCAAGGCACCGGTGTTCGATGTCATCACCCGTCCAGGCACCGTGAGCTCGACGCGGTACGTGCCGGACAGCATCGCCAAACCGAGCTACGCTACCAGCGGCATCGTCGTCGGGGTTCCCAAGGAGATGGAAGTCAAGTCGGCCGATCAGATTGCTCGGATGAGGGAATCTTGTCGACTAGCCAAGATGATCGTGAACCGGGTCTCAAAGTGCATTAAGGTATACGGCTGCGCACTTTTCATTCGCATCGACGTTTTTCCGTGCGTCATTGAACATACGATCGTGAGGTTAGCATTAGTTCATAGTTTTGTTAGAGCAAAACAAAACATCCATGGAAATTGATTTCGTACTACTTCACCAAATTAGTGGTTATTCACTACGCCCCCAGTCATCTGTGAGGACTGTTTGCTCCGAACTATTCAATGCAGGTTGCACCACCATGACATATACAGCAAGTTAGGACTGTCCTCGAGCCTAGCTGTTACGAGCATTTGCTTGTTTGGCTACTCTTGTAGCCTGATTGTTGGCAGACAAACAACACTTCATGAACTAACTTCATGAACTCGACCTAATGAAGAAGAACACGAGGGTACAATTGCTAGCTGGTGAAGGTTTAACATCTTGAGACTTACCATTTGTCATTGGAAACCTCAGTCTGTGGTACAGTCACCATGTTTAGTTTCTCAGTTTATGTTTATTGGCGAGGAGATCGAGCTATAGGGGGGTGCTCTCTTGTTTGTTGTCCCCACACCTCGGTGTTTACCCAACACAAGGCCTCTGGACATGCCCAGAGGCTTAATGTGGGTGTGTTCACGACTTAACGTAAAAATGCTAACAATAAATGAAGTGACGTTTATCGTTAGTGCCAGATATCTCCCAAAAGCAGTCGTCAGAGGATGCGAGCTTGACCCACTTTGGCTTTTGTGCTGAACTGGGTATATGCACGCGTGCATGCTGCATTGTTCATGCAGGCCAAAGTGGTAACAAAAAAGCCCCTCCTCCCCCTCAGGCTACCGAAGAACACAAACTCCAGCCGAACACTGATGCAGCATTCGGTTAAATCAGCCGAGCGTTGAGTCATTATTTGTTGTCCCCATCTGTGTAGTTCTAAAGTTAGCCGCTTGGGGCGCCACAATCTGATTTCCTCCCCAATAGTCTACAACTACGTAATTGTTGGAAGCCATATAAAATCCTCGGAGTTGCATTGCACGAAACCGAAACAACAATTGTGTCCATATAAAAAATGACATTCTAAAAAAAAAAAAAAATGTTGCTAGTGTGCGGAGCATTGGACGCTTGTTTTTCCACTCTGGCACCGAGCAGGATGCACTCTCTCGCTTGCCCAGGCGGGAGTCACGACGGATGAGCTGGACAAGTTTGCCCACTCGCTGTGCATCGAGCACAATGCGTACCCGTCGCCCCTGAACTACCGCTGGTTCCCCAAGTCGGTGTGCACCTCAGTGAACAACGTGGCCTGCCACGGCATCCCCGATGACAGGCCCCTGCGGGACGGAGACATCATCAGCATAGACGTCAGCGTGAGTGCCTGGAATGCAACTCTGACTTGTCTGCTTGCCGCATGGAGATAGGAAGCTTCTGGAGGCGACATGACTGGCCTCACCTTTGGTGGCGTCGTGTTGCCTCCAGAAGCTTCCTATTTCCATGGTTTACCGCGTTGTAAAAAGTGGTCCCTCGATTTCCACCCGACAATGTCATGTAAATGTCCTGTGGGCATCGGCCCTGGTGCTGTCATATAGCGGTGGTGGTGCTTGTGGCAGATGCTTTGTGTGCTGCAGATCGCTCTCCAGCTTGACAACCAGTCTATGGAAGTCTCGACAACCGGGAGTTGCCGCGACGACAGGAACACTTACAATCTCTCATGCTTTTTTCTGGAACTTCCACGCCCAACTACCAGGATCACGACATCCAACGGTGTGACACTTGGGTTTTACAACAAAGCTGTATATGACTCGTTGGTAGGGTTTTTTCGTGTCCGTCGACAGAAAACCATAGCACGCACCTTAACATTGTTTGTGCATGCCTTGTCATTTTTCTTGTGGTTTTGACCCTTGTTTCAATATGAAAACCACAAAACAAGTGTCAAATCCGCACGATAGAGGATAAGGGTGTGCGAACATTGTGAAGCACGTAGCACTCCCCGCATATGTTTCTCAATAAAGATTGCGGTCGCATTAGCTGCCCCGGCAAAACAGCGTACAAAGTCTTTTACATATAAAAAAGTTTTGGTACGGTGCATTAACTTTTCTTTCGTAGAGACCCTTTTGCTGTTTACAGACATGAACTGCCGCTTGCGTCCTAAGCGACGTCCGGTCGCGCCATTTTTGCAAGCCTTTTGAGCTTGCTTATGTCATCAGTGCTACAAAGCATAAATGCTACATGGACAACAAAGTTGGAGATTTAACGAGGGCCTTCAGCTGTACAATATTACATCTTGGAGGAGGCAAGTTGGTTTACAAGAATACTCAAACATTTTAACAGATCTTGCATTCCTTCATTCTTTTGGCATTTACCTGGAGAATTGGTGGTTAAATGTTTCATCTACAATTCAAGCAGCGGTTCATTCTTTTTATAAACCGAAAGTTCTCTGGGACGTCAAAGACTGGAGCACCACCTGGTGGCGTTTGCCATAAAGAGGGTCTATGGTGCAGTGGGCAATCATTGCAGATGATAGCTTCGCTGGCCAACCACCTGCACAGCGTGGATTGGAGCCCCAACTTTTTTTGTGGCGTCATTTGTTGCAACATCCGGACCACTTTCGACGTCTGGGCGGAATAGGACCCTTAAGCGCACCAGTCAGAAGCGTTTGTTAGGCACTGTAGCGCAAGTGTGCACCAGGCTTCCCTTGCTGGCCAACTAGGGGACTGTCAAGATAAGAGTCTTTTAGTATGCCTTCTGTAAATATTCTTTTAATCTACATTATATTATATGGTTCTTGCAGTTTTCTGTATTGGAGATTTCTGTAACGCAGGAGCATCACATGAAAATTCGCCGGTATACAAAATCCGCAGCTTTTTGCCACAGTGTACGAAGAAGTGACAGCGGAATTTGTTATTGCGGATACTATACACACACGCTTTTATGCATAGCCACCCTTTATTTCCTCACTCATGCAGGTTAGCCTTGTGGTCTCTGAAATATCTAGGAAAGGGAACACGCAGCACATGGGAGGCAGCGCCCCTGCCTAGGACTGAATTGAGACAGGTCCCTTTCAGCTACCGCTGTAACTCGCTCTAATAGGAGGATGTTTTGCTCCATCCCAAGGCAGAAACCAGCCCAGCCATCCCTTGGCCCTAGTGTGAAATACTTCGGTTGCGAATGATCACATGATCTCACGACATCAATAAATTTAGCAAAGAAAACCGAAAACAAACGTTCGATTGATGTCGTGGTTCTGGGCGTTCTTTTCCGAGTGTTCTTCTCACGTGCTCTCCGAGGCTTGTTTCTAGGTTGTTTACCTTGTCTTTGTGTGCTCGGCAAATCTGTGGGTGTATCGGTTGCTACAATGTCATGGAGTTATATCTCAAGCACAACATTGCCGCGAATGCAGCTGGAAAATCCCTAGAATAGCTATCCGTGAAAGACACCGGAGAAAGTGTGCAAGCTTTCTGTTTCAAATAGGGGTCCCTCTGGCTATGAATGCAATGCCGAACCAATTGTGCCAACAGCACATGCACAAAAAACGAATTTGAAATGTCGTGACACAAGTGCCCTCGCATCTATGATGGGACAGTGCAGGAGGCGAGGAAGAAGAGAGCAAGCACGTGCTTGGGTGGGGAGGCTCGAGGTAGCTGGGGTATGTGACCACAAGACACGCAAATACCACATTTTACTCCCACTTGAGTGCTAGTTTTGGCAGGGCTTTTTTCAGGGACACTACGCACAACAATGTTTGGGCCGTCAAGGCAGGAAGAGTTTACCAAGTTTATCTGCGCGATGTCACCACGAGGCAGCACACAATGCATTGCATTACCACTGCCTTTGTGACGATACTGTGGGAAATGGGTGAATTGTTTTTAAAAAAACTGATTGGAGGACATTGAAATTCAAGCAAAAGGAGGCACATTACAATTTCTCTGAGGACTAATGCTTTTTAATTTTAAAGCATCAAAGCAGAAATGCTTTCTTTGTTTTGCATTTAAGGTTATGCCCTTAGCAACACATACAATGCTTTTTATTTTATTTGCAACATATCTTTTTGTTGAAATACTATAGATGATTCAAGGGAGCTGAACCCCTCATCTGTTGTAAAATTTCAGGACCAAGAGATAGCTCTGTAAGGCAACTGGTTCCTATACCATTGAGCCATCCTCTATGGCCACACTAAAATTTATGCTTCAGGAGTTAAAGGAATCGTGAAACAGAAGCTGACAGGAAGGGGACTTGCTCTCCCATGAAACTATGCTATGTTGATACCATGATGGACATGGACATTGAGCTCATTATCAATGTCTACAAGGTCATCATACCACTATTTCGGTGGTCCCTAGAATTGTTTAATGGGCACATATAAATAGCGAATCTTGAGTTCAAAGCAAATAGTGCCAAATATTTTCTAATCAGATATTGAAGAATTGCTGCACCTTTCTCCAAGCCTTTCACTACTGCCGCACCAAGCTCAAACAAAAATCTGACTACCTAAACTCGTTAAAGTTGTGGATGGTTGAGCATGTCGGTTGTTCCCAAGCTTCTATTTGTCCCCTACTGAGATCAGTTAAATTTAACCTAAGTATTTATATGCAGTGATATCATTTAGTGTTCAGTGTATACATATAGGTGGCTAGTAAACAAAGGATTTGGCAAAAAAATTAATTCTAGTCAGTGGCATCACTAGGGTCAGCCGCCCCCCCTCCCCTCCTCTCGTCGCCCGCCGTGACACCGCCCTGAGCGCTGCACCCGGGGCCGTCTGACCTCCTCTTTCTGACGCCACTGGTCCTAGTGATACGCAGCTATACCTAATCGAAAGGATTTATAAATCTCCTCGCCATACCCAAATACTCTCCCTTCAATCTCAGTTTAAAAGATCTACAAAAAAACGCAAGCACGCCCAATGATGTAATCAGCTCATCAGGACATTGCTGCGTAACATGTGTTCTTGTGCTATAGCCATAGTTTAATTCGAGTCATCCACCGAGTGCCAGTTTATTTCTAAATCCACCAAGTGCATGTGTGCACCATGCTCTTCTAGAAGTGTGCTTTTCCCCTGAGCACGTGGCTGCGCTTTGGCAATGTGAGATTCGAAAAGACACTGTGTCAGCTCCGCCGGTATTGCGTCTCCGCATCGCATAAGAAGCACGCTCAGTGTGGCTAACTAATCCACGATGATGATGACTTTGCTAATGCTTCAAAAAGTATGGCTACTACAGTTTATTTCTAAATAAATATATGTATTACTCAAAACTACTATCCAAATATTTGCATAACCCTACTTAAAACAGCTTAACACTTGTCTCAGCCTTGAGCTGAACATGCATAAATTATTTTGAGCAAATAGAATAAAATCGCGTGGATTTTTATGGAAGCATTACCCCCCCTCAGTTTGAAAGCCTACTACATTCAGAATTGTGACTTCTGGTGGGGGCCTGGTGAAACAGCCAGTGAAATTGCTCCGGCAAGACTCCGTCTCCAATCACCTCTCACTTCTTGGACACTGCCGACACAATTTCTTAAATTCAAACTGTCCGAATAGAGCGCGAGTGTATGCAACACTGTTCTATTCCAATGCAATTCACTATTCAAACGATTGCAAGAAGTGTTTGAATCAACGAGCCACAACTTTGCGGCAGGTACGAAGGTGCGGATGCAGTCACCATATATTCACGGACAACTTACTGCGGTATTTCAGAAGTGAAAAGTGTGCGTGCACAGCTTTGATTGGTGCTCGAGGTGCGCAAGTGCCCGTTTGCCCATAGCTGTGACTACATAACCACAGGAAGTTGTCTGCGAGTATAGTTCCCTCTTTCTCGAGTTAGTGCTGAGCGAATGCGTTTTTCTGTCGGCAGGTGTTCTACAATGGCTACCACGGCGACTGTGCGGAGACGCACGTGGTGGGTGGCTCCGTGGACGACAGGGGCAGGGCACTGGTGCACACCGCCGAGGAGTGCCTGAACAGGGCCATCCAAGTGTGCGGGCCCGGGCAGCCACTCCGAGAGATCGGCAGGGTCATCAGGTGGGTCACGATGCCGGTATGCTTACTGGGCTCCGATTTCGGTCAAGACGAGAGCGTTTTGGGCCGCCAATTGGAAGTGACACCACAGCTCACGTGGAATCAACCAGTGAGACATCTTTGACCTGTTCTCGAGTTCGCAATCGAGCAATGTGTCGGTTAACGTCTCACCAAGATACAAATAGCGAGAAAGGTCTCGTGCCCTCCGACGTGCTTGTCCTTAGTACTCTTTTGTTCACTGGTCGGGACCCTGCGTGGACCCTGCAGACATGATGGGATGCAGTGTTCCAGGAACATTCCGTGGCTTTTGTTTGTGAGTTTGGTGACAAAATCTAGTGACTATTGCAATTGCTTTGTCCTGAAGCTTACTACACGGCCAGTGAGAGCCTCTTGATCACAGCATGCCTGACCTCTTGTGAATCCTCCCTGGTTGCGCCAACTTTTTCTCTCTTTACAGCTCTTAATAAATAAGGAGCAGAAAGAAACATGGGAGTGAAAGACCCTGCTGTTACATAGCCCAGTGACACTTTGTTTTCTATGCCGTGACTGAGAGGGTGTTCAAATGCAAGGACTGTTGTCGTCTTGTGTGGAATCTGTATGCTCTTTCTTTTTTTTTTTTCTTACTTTTTTTTTAAACGTTGACTACACTTCATACCTAATGGAATTTTAATTTAGTTACAACTACTTCTTTTCCAGAACTAGTTAGATTACAATTAGAATTACTATGACACAAGAGTAATTACAATTACTACATCATTATTTGTCGCAGCCTCCTATAAATGGCTGTTTTCACCAAAAGGTTTGTATATAGCCTTTGTTTAAATCACACTTGCAGTAAAATACCGCGGAAGCACCCACTTTGTTCAAGCGCCCACTATTTGGGAGTTCTGCAGATTAAGTGTCAAGTGCCCGATTTGACCGGACAATTGCCCATGTCTAGATTAACTTAGTTTTCAGTGAAAGTTGGGTCTCCTGGTATTTTACTGCGTATATTTGTATGATAGGTGTGACGAAACTGCATTGATACATCCGCATCTCTGTTATGTGATTGCAATATGTGCGCAAGTAGGGGACAGTTTCAATATCCTTGCCAATGAATCAAACGAGAAAATTAACCCTGCAGCAAATTTGCTTTGTTAAGGGCCATAATAATGGAAAAAAATGCATATAAGTCGTGCCGTTGTATAAAACACACCTGCAAAAATTTAGAAAAAAAAAACAAACAAAAAACGCAACTTATACATTTGTAAATAAGGTATGCTTTACTTTCAGAATTACTTTCTTTGGAGGGCTTCCCGATGTCAGTGGTGTGTATGTGATAGGAGCTTTCTGCTATGAGATGTATTTGTTCATCCTTGTGGGACCGCTGACTATTCATTCGATGGCTTTTTACTATTGCCACATGTTGCACATTTCTTTCACTTTAGGCATGTCGGAATTCTGGATTTTGAGTTTGAAGCGAATTCAAAGTAAATAGTGGTTTTGGCCGAATATTTCTTGGATCGAATATTGAATAGTTTCCCCAAGCTTTTCACTACTGCACGATCCTTAAATGAAAACCCATCTGAACTCATAAAGGTTGTTCCCAGGCTACCGCTTGTCCATATTATTTTTTTTTTAATACTGTACACCCTATTGGGTGCATTACAGGAGTGGTACATACAAAATAGGATACATAATAGTACAGATATGTCACTTCAAAGCACAGCCACACTTTTTCACATCATGCCACTCACAAAGTGTAACAAATGTAAGGAATTGGGTACAAAAACAGATGTACAAATTAATATAATTTCATTAAGCATTTTTCAAATGATTCTAATGTGTCACAATAACAACATTTTTAGGAAGCCTGTTCCAAGCATCTACTGTCCTAACAAAAAAGAGCACTCATAGGTGTCATTATTAATTGGCAGTATTTAAAGGGACCTGTTGTGCAACCCCCGCACTGCTCTCGTGACACGTGGTTTAAGAGAATGAGAAGTGTCCACGTTGAGCGAGTTTTGTGAGAGCATGGCAAGGAACTTTAATCTGCCGATTTCTTGTGTAATGTACAGAGGAGGAAGTTTAAGCAGTTTTAGGATGCTAGTAACCGAGTTGAAGCGGCTATACCGGGACAGAATAAAGCACACCGCCTGCCTTTGACTTTTTTCTAATTTATCAATCTGTTTTTTCCTGTAAGGGTCCCATACAGCACAAGCACACTCCAGGGTCGGGCGTATAAGAGGAAGCGGTTAGCTTCACCTCATTCGTGGCATTCTTGATGTTTCGCTCTAAAAGAACCTAATTTTTTCCGAGCTGTAGGGCACAAATTGTCTATATGTTGTTTCCATGTTAGATTTGCCAATATTACAACTTCTAAATATTTAAAGTGATCACCTGTCGCTACAAGATCGTTTTCTACTTTATATGTGAAGGGAAGGACATTTTTTTTTTACACGCGATTGTTACATACCTAAACACTTCTACAGCGGTTAATTTTCATTCCCCATCTTTTACACCATTGTTTTACTGAGTCAACCGACAAATTTAAGCTTTCCCGGTTTCCCTGGGAATCAACTTTAGTGTATAGTAAGAGATCATCCACAAACTTCCTCACAGTAATGTCAGAGCTAACTTTGTCAGCAATATAATTAACGTAACATAAACATAAAACAGGGCCCAAAACTAATCCCTGCGGGACCCCAGACGGTACTCCAAAAGCAGTTGATAAGTTCCCGCTGATAGTCACAAATTGTGTCCTGTTAGGCAGGTATGCACGGATCCAATCAGCTACGTCCCTGTTAATGCCATATGCAATTAGTTTTTCTATCAGTCCATTGTGCGACACATGATTAAAGGCTTGATAAATCTAAACAAACTGAATCGATTTGGCTTCTTTCATTTGAGCAGCAGGGAAAATTGCCAAACATTTCTATTAACCGTGTCTCTGTTGACAGACCACGTCTGAAACCCTGCTGATTTCTATGAAAAACTTTCTGACGCTTGAGATCATCGTAAAGACTTTTGGAAATTATATGTTTGAAAAGTTTACTGGACGTGCATGTTAATGATATACCGTAAAATCCCGAGTGATAGCCCACCTAACATGAAGAGCAAATCGGGTGAAAATATGGAGTGGGCTAACTTTCAATGTACAATCAAGAAATGTTTAAAAAATTGATATTTTAAGGTCGGGTCCCTTCCGACAACGAAGCAAAGATATCTGTACTTCCCAGTCAGCAATGTTCGCGTATATCCTACCATAGCTAACTAGCCGCATTTACGCCGAAGCCATCACTGATCCCAGCACTACGATTAATAGGAATGGGCAAGCCAAGCCAAAAATAGGGTTCGACTATCTTTCGGGGGTGGGGCATCTCTCGGGATTTTACGGTAGGTCAATAATTGGTTATATCATGTTTGTCGCCACATTTGTGAACTGGAGTAACTTTGGCACACAGGCAGTCTGCAGGTACATTGTGTTGTTTTAGTGACACTTGGAAAATAATAGTAAATATTTGGCAACCCATTCCGCATATCGCTTGAGAAATTCATTTGGGATGTTGTCGGGCCCAATCGATTTATTTGTGTTAATATTTAACAAAGGTGATAAGACACCAGTTTCAGAAATGACAAGGTCTGGCATTGCCACATGAACCTCATCACTTTGTATGTGACTCACTGGACAAGTACTCGAATCAATAACGACTGAACTAAACTATTCATTGAACTTTTCGGCCATACCGATTGGATTCGAAGTCCGATGGGATCCAAAAGTATCATTTTTTGGGAATCCTGCATTTTTTTTATTTGATTCATCTGAAAACGTGGAACGTCATGCTCAGTAGCAGTTTTTGCTTTTTGTCACCATTTTATTTCTTGCTTTAGGTGAATAATCTCGCGTCTTATCCAAGGATCTTGTTTATGTATGTGTTTTACTTTTTAGGAACATCCGTATTTAAACAGTGACTGAACGTTTCTTTTAAAGAAATTCTACAGAGTGTTTACATCACCCGCACCATCCAAATCAGGGAAAGGCCATTCTATGTGATCCAATATGCTCACGTCACCAGCATGACAGAAATCATACACGTGTGCGACTGGCGTTTGGTGGCTTTCGATGACAAGGCAATATTGTAAGATAATGAAACAAGATTGTGGCCCAAACACCTTCATATACAGATACAGTAAAGTCACACAAGTCGTTGCTTACAAAAACAAGTCCAGCACTGAGCACCCTGCATTTTCTTTCCTTGTACCCTCCTTTACAACTCGCATCGTGTTAAAATTAAATGCCATGTCAACCAGCACTTGAGTGTGCTTAGAATTGGAAGTACCTACTTAAAAAGGCACTGACACATCAAAATCATATTTTTTTTTTATTATTATCTGAAACGATTGAAAACGATGCCAGGACGTTACCCTCAAAATTCGAAATTTGGGAATTCAGTATTTGTGAAGTAAAAAAACAATTTCCAAATGCCGAATTCGAAGCTCCCGCGCGATCCACGCCGGTGCGTTGACGTCAAATATTGCGGAGTCCTGAGAGTCCACTTTCTTTCACGACTCCCTGCTGTTGCCATAGCGACCCAAAGTGAGGAGGAAAGAAGCAAGTGCCGGCGGACGGGTTTTGAGCGGTGTCGCTTGTTTTCCGTGGGAGGATACAAATCCAGGAGACGGCACCACAATGGACTCCGATTTTGGTATTTCAAAAAGAAGGGCCGTAGTGCGTTCGCAATTGCGTTAAAAAACATGTTTTAGGATTGCCGTTATTAAATGTTACAGAGATGTCGCGTACAAAGCTTCTAAATTTCATGATTCTTGATGTCACGAATCAAAAGAAGCGAAGAGGCGAGAGGCAGGAGAATCAAAAACCTAAAATAAAAAAAAGAGCGCGCGCAAGCGCGAAAAATTTTTTTTTCGAGATGCATTTTTTTTTTGCGTGTCTATGACTGCAATTTGCATCGTTTTAGACAATAAAAAAAGTATGACCTTTGGGGTGTCAGTGCCCCTTTAAAGAT